AGTAGAATGATTTCACATTAAAAAAATCCCCATAAGGAAGAAGAAGGTGCTAAAGAACGCAGAGTAGTGCGAAATTCTGGAAGTCTCCTGAATCGGGGCGGTACAACTAGTGGGGATAATTACACCTGTTCTTTGGGGATAGAAAATGAAGCGAATGTGTCTCTAGCGGTGGGTGAGGCTTTGGGTGTGCAGTTTTCAGTCTCAATAATGAGGGTGCTTGAGAGATTAGAGTCTCTTGAGCTATCGGATAAGCCCTGGCATTGTTATTGAGCTTTGGTTGAGTTTTGCTTGTGGGTTTCATTCTTTTCATGGAATTTGGGTTATCCGTGTTATCTTGGAATATTAGAGGGTTGGGGAAAAATGAAAAGTTAAGAGCGGTTAGTCGGGTTATTGAATCAAATAAAGCTAATGTGGTGATGTTACAGGAATCTAAAGCTATGTATATCCCTGTTTATGTAGAAATAAGATTAAAGGGTAGGTTAGATAGGGAGCTGGTTTTTACGCCGGCTGAAAGTGCCTCGGGTGGTCTGATTACATTGTGGGATCGTAATGCATTTAATGCTAGATGTCAAATTGCTCTTAGGAGAATTGTAGTACTAAAAGGCTTACTAGTTCTACATAACATGGAAATAAGAATTATTAATGTCTATGGTCAGAATGTTGATGGAGAAAGATTGGGGGTTTTCAAGCAATTAAACGATGTTATCGCAAATTTGAATTTGCCGGTGATTGTGGGTGGGGATTTCAATATCGTTAGATCGGATTTAGAAAGAATAGATGGACATGATATTTTAACTTTAATGTCAATCTTCGAAGAATTTATTTCCAAATGGGAATTGACTGATGTTCCAATCTCTGGAAATGTGTTTACATGGTTTAGGGGAGGTTTGAACATGACCACGAGTAAGCTTGATAGAATATTAATTTCATCCGACATCGCATGTCTATTTCCAAATTTGATGTAAATTTCTCTCCCTATAAGTCTATCCGATAATAAACCTGTCATGTTAAGAGAACAGAAGCCAAAAAAGGTCTGTAGGCCTTTCAAATGGTACAACCATTGGGCGGACGATCCCATTCTTGCCGATAAAATTAAGGATGTATGTCGAGCTAATAAGGGTAAAGGGCTTAATAATGTGTTGTGGGTAGCAAAGTCCGTGACTAAGGAATAAGATAGCGTGTACCGGGAAATAAAGATCGACTTGGTTGAGGAATTGGAGAAAAAATTGATACATTAGAGAATTTGTGTATTTTGGATCCAAGAGATATGTCAGTACAATCTGAGCTTGTGTCAGTGAAGGCCAGATTGTGGGTTGTGTTAAGGAAGGATGAAAGAGAATGGTTGCAAAAGTTTAGATTAAGGTGGTTCAGAAAAAGTGATAAGAATACAAAATTTTTTATCTAACTGTTGCGCTAAGAGGTCGTAGGAATCAGATTTCGAAACTGAAGGTGCATAATTCGTTATTTAAAAATCAGTCAGGGATTCAACTAGCTTTCGTCAACTATTTTTGTTGCAACTATAATGATGTGAAAACTCTTCCAGTAAAGAGGTTTGATATCCCATTCAAGAGACTCAATGCAGCTACTAGAAGGCTTATTAAAGGTACATTCTCTGAAGAAAAGAGCGGCTCACAATCAAGTCGTCGGATGGATCAAGAGCGCCATGTTCGGATGGTTTTAGTTTGGACTTCTATAGAAAATTTTGGATAGACATAAAAGCAGATGTCATGAATTTTATGGAAGACTTTTACTGGGGTAGAGTTAAAGATTTCTCTTTTAATAAGTCGTTCATTGCTCTTATTCCGAAGAAAATTGAGGTTGTTTACCTGAAGACTTCAGACCAATTTCATTGGTGGGAAATATGTACAAGATTGTTTCTCACGTATTGACTAAGAGGATGATTTGCTTCATAAAAAAAGTGATTGGCGAGAACCAGTTCACTTTTATTGCTGGAAAACATATTACAGATTGCTCCTTGTTTGCGAATGAAGTCATTGATGATCTGATTAAAAGCAAGAATGAAGCAATATTGGTTAAGGCAGATTTCAGCAAAGCATATGACACAGTCGACTGGGATTTTTTGAATATGATTTTAAAGAAAATGGGATTTGGCAAAAGATGGAGGAAATGGATTAATATTTGCATTTCGTCCCTATGATTGTTGTACTAGTTAATGGGTGTCCTTCTAAGTATTTTTCTATTAAGAGGGGTCTTAGGCAAGGTTGTCCGTTATCGTCGTTTTTACTTAATGTTGTGGGTGAGGCCCTCAGTGGGTTGTTAAAGAAATTTGTTGCAGCTGGATTATGTGGAGGGGTAGATATTGGGCTAGAAAGGGTAGAAGTGTCTCATATCCAATTTGCTGATGATCTCATTATATTTTCGGCAGCAAAGGAAGAGATGATTAAAAACCTTCACCGTGTTCTTAAAATATTTGAGGTAGTTGTTGGTCTGAAGTTAAACATGCAGAAGACTAAGTTATTTGGTATTAATGTGGATGATAATAGAGTTAGAGGTTGGGCGGATTCGATTCATTGTGGTTGGGCAAGTTTGCCTACGACTTATTTGGGGCTGCCGTTAGGTTATAAAAAGAATTCTAAGCTGATGTGGCAACCTAGCGTGGATAAAGTCAAATCTCGACTCCAAAGCTGGAAAGGTAAAATACTCTCTTGGGGAAAGGATTACATTAATTAAATCTGTCTTGGTGAATTTACCGGTTTAGTACATGTCCTTATTTACTATTCCTTATTCCATAGCTGAGATGATTAATAAATGTATAGCTAGATTCCTTTAGAATGTTAAGGCTGAGAGAGGTATTCATTGGATAAAGTGGGATAATGTTTGTGGCCAAAATCCATGGGGGTCTGGGTATTTTTGATGTTAAAGATAGGAATCGAGCTTTGTTGAATAAATGGATTTGGTGATTCAGTGAGGACAATGAAAGTTTATGGGAAACGATTATAGTTGCTAAGTATAATTGTGATCCGGAGTACCTAAAGTCGTTAGCACGCGAAAGTTGTCAGGGGTGTGGCACAAAATAGTGAATCCGGCTGTGTCGAACGCTGATGGTTTCTTATCCGATGTGAGGTGTGTTATGGGGAATGGGTCCATAATTGATTTCTGGTCTGATTATTGGATTGATGTATATTCTTTAAAAGTAGATTTTCCTAGAATATATGGGATTGCTATAAAAAATCTGGAACGATTAGCGAGTTCGGCTTTTGGGCTCATGGTGCTTGGGAATGGAAGATTGAGCTGAGGCGTGGCCTGTTCGTATGGGAAATGGCTATATGGAGTGATTTTACTCAAGTTCTAAATAGAGCTATTTGCTCTCATCCAGGCTTAGATAGATTAATATGGTTAGGTTCTCCCGATGGTAGATTTAGTCCTAAATCTTTCTGCATCAAGTTGGCCTAGGTTGGTAAGATGGAAGACCCAATTTGGAAACTAGTTTGGAATAAGTTCGTTCCTCCTAAAGTGGCTACTTTTGTGTGGAAAGCTGTGTATCAAAGGTTGTTGGTTGTTACTGAATTGGTTAAGTGAGCTGTTAACTGTAATGCTCATCCCTTTTGCATATTTTGCAAACGTCATCCGGAATATGTTAATCATGTGTTGTGTCATTGCTATGTTGTTTGGCAAGTTTGGCAACGGTGGTGTAATGTCTGGAAAGTTAATATTATCTTCCCCACGAACGTTAAAGAGATGCTAGAGATTTGGTTTTCACAGAAAATAAGAAGTAAAGTTCGGGATTTATGGCAACTTGGGTTTTTGATCTGATTTGGAAGCAGAAACAATTCAAGGTTCATCGGTAGTTCATTCACAGTGGATCAGATATATAACTCTGTTTTACTGCAAATAGGGGTTTGGGCTAATATGTTATGGTCATTGTTGATTCCTCATGTTCAAGATTTCGTTTGAAGCCCGGAATATATTATCTTTGATTATTGTCAATGGTGAGTAGAAGATTTCGTGTTGTTTTTGTAGCATTTTCCATGGAAAGCCATATGTAAAATTTAGGTGTCGAATCTTAGGAATGCAACACTGATTTTCCTGTTTAGTTTGGCACTGTGATAGTCATTCTTTCATTCTATTAGGGGCTGCTAGTATCTGTTGTGTTATTAAGCTTTTGGTTGGCTTGAGTTTTATTGTTCTGGTTGGGGTGTTCCCGGGTTTGTTGTAATAGTGACTATGGTTGTTCGTTATCTTTCACCTCAAGGTTCACTCTTTTTTCTCTAAATAGGTTTAGGGAGGTTTTTTAATGAGGTCATTGGGGTGGTGTACTTTATGACCTTATTAATACAAAGTACCTTTTTTTTTAAAAAATATCCCTATTAAAATGTAGCATAATAGTAGCACTCTAACACATCAAATATGTCTCATGAATGGATTAACATTTTGTTCTCTGTAATATGTCATACGCCTCGAATGCCTAAAATCAATACACATGTAACCTCATTGACTTGGTCCAAACATTATGACCGAATTTCAAAGATCACATTAGTCATTGAAATGGTCTAAATTATTATTAAGAAAAATTTGCAGAAACATAGAAAAACATTTGTACGACCCTTTAGGGTTCTTTGGGAGCTCGTACTGATACGGTGTGTAGGTTGGACTGGGTAGTTAGGCTACTAGTTCCACTTTTATATCCGTATTTTTGTGCATTATCTATGTTTCTGTATTATTTAGATGTTCACTATCAGTACACGAAAAAAACTACTGAAAATACCTCAATAAAAATTTGGCTCCTCAGTACGATCCTAACGGCGAATAGACCGGTCATGAGCTCCTGTAACAAAGTCACCACGGTTGCTGATAACAAGGCACCAAACATCAGCATGATGTCCTCACATAGGACAGGACGTTTGTGGGCGTACAAGAAAAGGAAAATTTTGAGTGAGTCCATCAGAAGCTGGTACGAGAACATGCTTACAGAGAAGAATTCTGGAAACAAACATCTTTGAAATCAACAGATTCAATTAGCACATGTAAGTCAATAAGACATGATTAGTGCAGTGGCATATGGATGGAAGGTCACATCTAACGCTCATAAAAATCATGAGACAGAAGGTTTTAAACAGAGGGCTGAAGATGTTGACCAAAAGTGAGATGGAAGGAAAGGGCAACTATATCAATCAATTTTACAAGTTGAGCAGGAAATTGCATGATGCCATTGCTTCCAATTACAAATTATAGGAAAACAATAACAGAATAAATTCACCAATCCAACCAACAGTGGACAAATTACAATTCAAAGCAGAGAAGGATAAGTCGGCCATTCCAACCTTTACAGTGCAATACAACAATGCAACAGCAACATATTTAGCATCTGGGCTAATAGTAACCACTAAAACATCATCAATTCATTTTCGTAGCCCTTACATTTGATATGGTAAGGCTTTTGGAATCCTGAAAATCAGCAAGGCCAATCTAGCATCATTCATCAGTTAACTCTGCATGAAAATCCAGTTTTCTAGAGTTTCTTCCTTACTAATCCAGATTAAGCCTCGTTGTACACCTGATTTTGGTGAGTGAATCTTTCAGTGGGGATTTTCTACATACACAAGACTCTCAAACTCAATATTTGCTTAAGCGATGTGAAATTGCTGACTACTTAAATCAACTCCGTTGGTTATGTGATAAATATTAAATATGAACGTGCGTGATGGTCCTAAAATAAATAATATTATATTTATAATAAAGTGGAATAAACTCTATGATTGTATAAAGAAAAAAAAAAGACCATGCTAATTTTATAGAGCTGTCAATGTTGGGAAGATACGAGATTTCATCGTGAATAGGATCTACTTCTAGAATGATGAATTTTTCCTAATTAAGAATCTTAATTTGGCTAATGATCTAACATATTCTTCCTCTTGCACAGAACCTGATCCTAATGTAGACCCATATAATATGACATGTGACATACTTTTCAGATACATAATGGTGATTATATAGAGCATACAACAGATTTTACTGATACAAAAACAATAGCAGAGAGCACACAATCCAAATTACACCACAGTAACGGAGAATACAATACTTATTTTAGAGTATTTTAACAATAAACTATAAACTACATATTTTTCCAATTCTATTTAATTGTATGCATTTTTTTCTTTTTCAAAATTGAAGTTGTTAAATATTTCAATGTTTATAAATTTAGGAATATATAACATCTTCTCCTCAAGATGGACAATAAGATAGAATGAGATTAAATTCTACTTTAATAGTAAGGTGGGTGTCTGATGCAAGTGGATAAGACTATGTTATCTAGTTTTATTATTTTAGTGTTTGAAGTTAATGATTTTTTTTTCGGGGCTCAAGTCAGGCAATTACAAATATTACGTTGCAAACTATCATGTGATTTATCAAGTACTTTAATAGCACATGAACCGTGACGGAACATAGCTTCGTTCAAATTTGTATTGTTCTACGAGAAAAATAGTCTCGAACAACAATATTGATCGCAACTACTGAGTTTTCTTGGAGATTTCTGTGAGGATAGCCGCGACGGTGTAGAGGTAATCCCAGTAAATTCCACCCTGGTTCACTGCAATGGCATGACGAACCAGACGAGATGTTCAATCGGACTTCGCATAAGATCTTCCAGAGATCGGTTTCGTCTTCGAATGTGTTTGAAGATAACAGATTTCTCATATCAACCTAGCAAAAACAAGCCTGTATTGCTTTTCAAGCAATTGATACCCCATTTTTTAAGTCCTGAAACCAGCATCTCTTTCATTTTTTTTAGTCTCTTTTGATTCTCCTTCATGTATTTGCTCGTGAATTTCTTGTTCGCTATCAGCAAATGCACCTTCGGGATGCTTCACAACGACAAACTGTGCCAGGAAAAGCTTATTGGAGCCAGTGTTGAGGAGCATTACTTTGCTGTTAATGAAGGATTTGAGATGAAATCTTCGGACGCTAGCAGTGGTCTTTGTCGATTAGACTCTGTCTTTTGAAGGTAGGTGCACGATCTCTCATATCTGCTCGAGTGTGCTTTGCTTAAGGGGTTTTTAGACTCGCCATTGGATTCACTTGGTGATGTTCGAGCTGTTCCATCTTTGTAGCATAGGAGTTATCTTTTCTTCATTCGAGTCCAACATTTGTGTCGAATACATTAGGCACTGATCTTACAACTATTCTTGCGACATATGAAAAGAACTGATCGGAGAAATATAACAGTATCTCGAGTCTGAGTACCATCAGATTACGAACTTATATGATTTCCAACTTGCCCAGGGTAGTATGGTGTGGGAAGAAGGATGGCTTCACCAGGAAAAAGATTAAGTCTCATTTGCTGAAGTTGCACCAGCAGCAAGCACCAAGTTGTTGGATCAAATTTAACCTTGTTTCCTTTGATTTTTCCATGTATTGGACCAGTTCCAATCAGGAGTGTTTATGTGTGAGTCGATCGTGAGTTGGGTAGTGTTTGACTCGTGTTTGTTAAAAGATTATGTTACTTCATTCGTTGCTCGTTAAACAAGTTAAAATTTTGCTCGACTCGTTGCTCGTTAAACTCGTTAAAATTTTGTTAAATTTGTTAAAATTTTGCTTGACTCATGCTCGTTAAAAAAATTTGTTGTTTGACTTGATTCGTTGCTCATTAAACTCACTAAAACTTTTACCTTCTTTTTTTAACTAATGGTAAAATCTACTAATATTATATAGAACTAATATAAACATAAAGTAACAAATTTATCCAAAAAATTATCAATAAATTCTGAACTCTAAAATAACAATCCACAAATACACCAAACTAGTAAATTACTAAATTAACGAACTACACATGAACTTACTAAATCGAGTTGGACCTTGCTCGACTCAACTCGTTAAGGCCTTGAGTCGAGCTCAAATTCAAATTGAAACAACCTAAATCAAACATCAACCAAGTTTTGATCGAATATAGTTATGACTGAGTTTTGGGAGATTATAGTAAAGATTAAAATGATAGGAATATTCACATTTTTTAAAGCATGCATTCCATGATATTCTTGGAAGAGAGCAAGGTCCCTGAACACATATTCTCCATTATTCTTCAGCTCCATGGCGTTAGGGTTTTTTCTTAGCCATGGTTCCACGTAGGGATGGGTATGAGTTGGACTGAGTCAAGTTTCTAGTTAATTCAACTCGACCCGAAAATTATATCTTCTACATGAAATTCGATCCTACACGAAATTAGGATGATTTCATCTGAATTGAATCCGACCCAATCTAACTCGAATATATTTATAACAAATATTTGTTTTATTTGATAAAAATAAAGATCTAATTGAAAAAATTAATACTGAGAGATATATTATTACAATTATCTCTAAATATAAAAGATATCATTATATTATTTTCTAGGGTTTCGTCCTGACTAATCTAGACTAACCTGCATTGCACGCCTGATTTTGATAAGCGAGTCTCCCGGTGGGAATTTTCTACATACACAAGACTCTCAAACTCAATAACTACTTAAGCGATATCAAAATGATTACTAAAAATATTAAATATGAACGAATGTGATGGTCCTAAAATAAATAATATTATATTTATAATAAAGTGGAATAAACTCTATGGTTGTATAAAGAAAGAAAAAAAGACCATGATAATTTTATAGAGCTGTCAATGTTGGGAAGATACGAGATTTCATCGTGAATAGGATCTACTTCTAGAATGATGAATTTTTGCAGACCCATATAATATGACATGTGACTTACTTTTCAGATACACAATGGTGATTATATAGAGCATACAACAGATTTTACTGATACAAAAACAATAGCAGAGAGCACACAATCCAAACTACACGACAATAACGGAGAATACAATGCATATTTTAGAGTATTTTAACAATAAACTATAAACTACATATTTTTCCATTTCTATTTAATTGTATGCATTTTTTTCTTTTTTAAAATTTAAGCTGTTTAGACTTTAAAAATTAATTCAGGGAAAGAATATGAAATATATTTTTGAAAATAATTTGATTTTAAAGTTTCCACCAACCTTTAAGTTAGGTAGGTTAGAAACCTTAAACATCATTTTAATGAGTTCAGAAAAATCATTAAAAGACAGAAAAAAAGGTTTGTTTTTTACCATAAATTTATTTTTAAGAGTTCTGGAGTCGATTACGTGTACGGAAGGGTGAGCACCCCCACAAAGCCCAAGTTTGGTACCTAAATGATTATATGATGTTTAAAAGTTGGAAATTACAAACTCGAAAACATATTTAAATTACGATCATTCTATTTATTCGAATTTATTTTAAAAGATGTCAATTTCCTTAAACTAAAACAACATTACTTTTCCAAATAAGAATATGATGACAAATAATAAATGAAATCACAAACTATTTATTTACCCCAAAAAATTACAATTATTTTTATAAGAGAAATCACATCATTTTGTACAAATAATCCTTGAAAATGCACTTCCTTTATAGTTAGGAGATTTTTTCATAGATTCCCCTCACAAAATGGTGTTTCTTTAATTTTATGGATGATATAGTTTAAAAGAGTATAATATTATATTAAATTTTTAGAAATGTTAAGATAAAAGAATGCCTTTTTGTGCGAACAATCCTCAGAAATGCAATTCTTTTGTAATTAGGAGACTTTTCCATAGATTCTCCTCACAAAAAGACATTATCTCACATTGTTCCTTATATCAAAGATAAAAATAAAATAAAATAAAAAAATAAAAATAAAAAGAGGTGAAAAATAATAAAATAGAAAATGTAAAACAACGAAGACTATAGAATACAAAAAAAAAAACTTTTATGTGAAAAATCTTCGAAAAGACATTTTCCCTTGGACATTTTCCCTTGTAGTTGTGAGATGTCTTCTAAGATTTCCCTCACAATAAGAATTTATCTTTTCTATATATAACAAAAATGATGATTTATATAAAAAATAATGTTTGAATAATATAGAAGTGTGCATAAAAATGTAGCGATAAATAAAGATGACAAAATTCGATTTCGAATCTAAAATACGAGTCAAACATTGGTAGCCTACTAGCATAAACGAGGGACCAACATGCAAGCTTTCTAAGCCAACAGCCAAGATTAAAATACCAGTCAAGTAAGAGGATAAATAAATAAAGTTGGAACGTAAATAGTGAAAAGAATAGGCATTAGATGTAAATATAACACAAGCAAGATTAGTGACTAAAATAAAATGAAGTGTAAGTTAATATGCTTAAATGAAAATACATAAACTAAAATGTTGGAAATAAAAAAAATGGATTGAAATAAAATGCAGCAAAATTAAAGGGCAAAAAAATAAAATGCTGAAATTTAAAGTGTTGGAACATAAATAAAATAAAACAGAAAAATGAATAAATTACATAAATTTAAAAGTTAAGGGTTTTTTTTAACCATTTAACTCGGATCATAAATAATACGGATCGTCCCGCAGGGCAGGTCACCACAAGGTCGTTGAATATTCGAATGTTAGAAAATTAGCGGATTAGTTTGTGCAATAAAATAAAATTTTAGTAAGTTCGTAAGAACAATAAAAAAATGTAGTATGTTAATATGAACAAATAAAATAAAAGTTAGGGGTTGTTTTTAATCGTTTAACCTAGACCATAAATAATGTGGATCATCCTCCAGGGTGGGTCACCGTAAGGTCGTTGAATCGAATGTTTGAAAATTAGCGGGTTAGTTTGTGCAATAAAATAAAATGTTAGTAAGTTAGTAAGAACAGTAAAAATAAAGTTAGTATGAACAATAAAAATAAAAAAGTTAGAATGGTAGTATAAACAATAAAATAAAAGTTAGAATGTTAATAAGTTAGAAAAGTTAGCGGTTAGTGGTTAGTAGGGTCCGAACCATAATAATGTGAATTGTACCCTAGATCGGGTCACCACAAGGTCGAATAATATGATAAACAATAAATAAATAAATAATGGTTAGAGAGCAAGAAAATAAAACCAGTGGTTAATATGCGATAAAATAGAAGTTTGTAATTAATATGTAATTAGATAACATAGCAGAATAGTGATTAAATTAAAATAAAGCAAAACAGGGGTTAAAATCAGAATAAAATCAAAGTAGATCAGGAAAATAAAAAAAGCCTCAACCTCACCATTCGAACCACTCTAAATCGGCGACCAACCATTGACCAAGGCCAACATCCTCCCACATTTCACATATTAATGCTAAAAAAATAGAAAGAAAACAAACATAAAAAAGGAAAATAAAAAAACGTGAAAGAGAAAGCTTCTTTTGTTTCTGTTTGCTCTTTCTAAACTTAAAGGGGGTTGTTTTTTCTTTTTGTTGTGGCTTTTAAAGCCCCCACATATTACAAATGGGTAAATTGTTAGCTTAGTCCCTGTATTTTGTTATTTCTTTTATTTTAGGATAAAATTAGGATATTACAGTTGCCCCTCTTTGCTCGCCTATTGTGTAAACAATGACAAAGCAAAGATAAATAATGGCTTAATTTTGTCTAACTATGATGTTTGCTTTGTATCTGGAGCTCCAATTCTTTTTCTAAAAATTGAGGTTCTAAAGATGGCATTGTTCCTTCATGTTGAGAAAATTGGGTCAATTCAGAGATAATACGGTGTTGAAGATGACTCTTCTCATCCACATTGAAGAGATCTGGTAGTTTTCAGATAAATTGTTTATTGAAGACGACGTTGTTCTTTCTCATTGAGGAAATCGGGTCAATCTGGAGATAATTTGGTGTTAAAGATGACTCTGCTCATCCATGTTTAAGAGATCTGGTCACTTTCAGATAAATCATTTGCTGAAGATGATGTTATTCCTTCTTATTAAGGAAGTCGGGTCAATCTGGAGGTAATTTGGTGTTGATGTTCTGGAAGTATTTGGGTAAATTGGAGACAATACAATTCCTTCACGTTGAGCAAGTCTGATTGTCTAAGGATGACACTGCTCCTTCGCGTTGAGAAGATTTGATCGGTGGACGACATTGTTCCTTAGTGTTGAGGAAGTCTAGTCGTTTTAGAAGATAATTTGGAGACAACAAGGTTCCTTCGCGTTGAGGAAGTCTGGTTGTCTGAGGATGACACTTCCCTTCACGTTGAGGAGATCTAGTCAGTGGAAGACATTGTTCCTTCGTGTTGAGGAAGTATAACCGTTTTAGGAGATAATTTGGAGACTATATGGTTCTTTTGCGTTGAGGAAGTCTGGTTGTCTGAGGATGACAGTGCTCCTTCCCGTTGATGAGATCTGGTCGGTGAACGACATTGTTCATTAGTGTTGAGGAAGTCTAGCCGTTTTAGGAGATAATTTTTCTTTGGAAACTACATTACTTCTTCGTGTTGAGGAGAGCTAGTCATAGTTTCCAATGATTGACTTGAAATGGAATATTCTTCTTTGACATGGAATTGTGAAATGAAGTGTGGAAGGAAATTCGTTTCAAGAGGAGCTATCTTAGGTGAGATAAAATTTTGTTTCAAGTGAAACATTTCAAAATTTGCGTTTCAAGGGAAAACTATCTCAATTGAGAAGAAAATTGTTTTTAAGAAAAATAATCTCAAATGTTATCAATTTTGTTTCAAGTGAAACAATTTCCAATTTTTGTGTTTTGAGGGAAAACTGTCTCAAGCGAGACAAAATTAGTTTTCAGGAAAACTATCTCAAGCAAGATCAATTTTGTTTCAAGTGAAACAATTTCAAAATTTGGGGAAAATTGTCTCAAGCGAGACGAAATTTGTTTTGAGAGAAACAATCTCAATTATTTGTGTTTCAAGAGAAATTGTCTCAACCAAGAAAAAATATTTTTAGAGGAAACTTTGTTTCGGGAGAAATAATATCTAAGGTGACGAACAGTCTACTCCTGCATGCTGAGGAGATCTAGTTGCCTTTGGAAGATCTAAACATTTACTTCAGGATGTCAAAATCTGTGGATGACATTGTTCTTTCGTATTGAGGACGTATCATCACCAAACTTTTATTTCCTGAATGATCAATATAAAAATGATGCATTTATGAATGACTATCATGAATGTTTTTATGAATGTCAAGATGAAGTTTATTTCATGTATTTGATTTTTATTTTGATAAAAATGGCCTTTTGAATTCATCCTAATGAGAGTAGAAAATGACCTTGATTGAAGAAAATTAGATGATGTCCTCGTGAGAGGAGAAAAATTTCTTTTAAGAATAAAATAGGGATTTCAGGGAAAAACAGACTTAAGAAATACTAGATTGATGTTTTTGGACAAACAATCTTGAGAAAGACTAAACTAATTTCTCAAAAGAGATTATAAAAGCATTCTTACTAGAAGGGGGAAACCCTTTTTATTGCATGTGATAATGATTGTATGATGAAAATGTGCAAATTCATGTGATGTGTATGTTTATGTTGATGCATGTTTTCTTGATCTGTGATGGGAATGCTTGCATGAGCAGTCTTCATTCTCTCTTTGATTCAGTTGTCTTCACTTTTTTGTTTTCTCTGGCGTGCACTCTTGTACTTCTTGACTTGTGTCGATTTCTTCTTGCCCAGGCAAAATTTTTCCCTCATAAAAAATTGGCTTCTTTTTTTCTGGACTTGTGAAAAAAATTATTAGAGTTTTCCTTCTTGCTTTGAAAAGAGAATCCATCATTTCAAGCTTTGAAGACTGTGTATGTGCTGCTACTCTATTGCAGGAAATCAAAGGACATTGTCCGGAGCTGACCATCACAGTAAATGGAAAAATATCAGATTGCCCTGGAGAAATATGGGACACATCTATGCCAAGGATGATAGTTGGACCCTTAGAAACAACTGGAATTGAAGGTATTGGCTCAATTGCTAACATCAAATTTAGTCCTCCAAGCTTTGCATTGATTTTTTTTTAAAGTAAATTTGTAAGGTATTAATCATTGACCCTAGTTGGAGCTATACACTGTGTCGCTATGCCAAACTCGGCAAGATTCATAAAGATCAAAATTTTTCTTATCAGGTAAAACACAAAGAATGAGCTGTGGAGCTTGAGGAAGTTCATATTGGGTTTCCCTAATCATTTATTCAAATTCTTTCAACAATATAGTAGTGTTTGCTTTGATTGGGCTCTTGACTCGCCTTGAATAGAGGATCTATCTGAATTGAATCTCGAATGAGGCTATCTGTATCACATTGTGTTGAGAATTTACCGACAACCTATCGTTCAATTTTAGTTGGCTCCACTAGTTTCTCGCTGTTAAGATTTCATTGCTCATTCTACGGCTATAGGATCGAATCATTGTTTCAGTGCTATAGTTATTGGTTCATAAAACATTCTACAACTTATTCATCATTTTATGTGGATTTTGCCTTGGTTTTTCAACCAGGGAAGCTCTTTGCATGGTGTTTCAGAGCTTATGTATAGCGTTGCGAGGATACCAAAGAGTAAAGCTCAGTGGGAATATAAGTGGGACGTTTTAGCTTGCCAACATTAACACGTGGGGAAATCACCATAATAATACAATTATATGCTGTGATAATTGACAAAGCAATCATATGCAGTAAGCTCCACTGTCTCTGCCTCGCATTTTTAGTCTTCGTGCATTTGTTGTCTTATTGAAAATAAATTTATGCTCAATTCAATGATTTTGTATTCCTGGATGATATGTGCCTTCAAAAATTCCCCAACATTTATCATTTCTTGCTCCAACACTGATTCTAAGCATGAGATTTGTGTTAGAGATCCATGTGTCAACTACCAAGATCTACTTCGGAGAGATCATCTTGTTTGAATTTTTTTCTCCTTTTATTTTCAAAATTTTGGAAAAATATCAATTAAAATAATTTTGAAAAAATTTCAACCAAAAATTTTGAAAAAATATTGCCTATTTCTAGGTTTCACAATTGAAACAAATCATAAAACAAGAGTTCATTAGATATCAAAGAATTAATTACTCTCTTAATCCTTCAAACTTATAACTTTTTAACAAGTGTCAAGATTAGGAATTGGTTTCAGGATGGCTTCCTATTTTCTAAGGTTTCAACCATCAAGTCTTTATTATTGTCACTGCTCTTTGAAATGTTATACATGCCCCTCATTTCTGGCTTGGCATTTAATTGGGTGCAAACAAAATGTCGCAACTAGCATAGTCAAATGCTACACCTTTTAGAACACTTCTATTTCATTTCTCTTAAATCTTTCATTTGTTCAAGCTTTGTAGACTCTTCTAGCTAAGGTAGTGCAGAAATATCAGTCTAAAAATAAAATACTTGAGTGCTCGTGTGAAATTGATTATAACAAGTGTTCCTTAACTCCCTTAGTTCATCTTCATCAAAACTCCTTATTTGGTAAATTCGATTTAATTTGTTATTGTTTGGCTAGCTAAATTCATCCTTATTGTACATATATGTTTTAAAATTGCCTTTATTTGGCTAGCTGAAGGATTCATGTTGTCACGAAGTCTTTGACTTGACAATCACAGTGGAGCAAACATCGAATTTCCACGTACCCGATAAATGTCATAGTTTGAATGTAATCTATTCATAAAGCCAGGGATTTTGAGTTTCCTCTATAACCAATTGCTTTAGTGGAATAACTCAGTTTTATTGTATACATATATAATTATATTCTGGGTATACAAATTCAATTTCTTAAGCTTGTTAAGAAGAACCTGTTATAGTCCAAGTGTTGTTGAAAGTTAGAAAATATCATCGTTAGAGTTCAATTTCCAAGCAAGTGGCCCGAACTAGATTCACCTATATGACTATTCCATCTGTGAAGATCATGATCATCATTGAACGTCATCAACAGAAGTAAAAACCAAGTAGATTTGCAATCTGATGTGTAAGATATACATACCTAAATATTTTCTCTTCGATCGAGGAGAAGGCTAGCTTGGTCCCTGTAAAAGAATGATATGTATTATGGTATATTTTTTGGAGTAAGATTAAGGGTTCTTGTTTTACAAAGGTTTGATCTTGTCACTTGCCTAAAGGCTATAACCTTAATTCTCAAGGGAGCTTTTAATTCACATGATATTAAAAGAACTACAAGATTAAAACTTGTTCAATTATTTAACCTTAGAAGGTAGCATAATTAAATCATTAAAAGATTAAAAAATATTCAGAAAAATATTAAAGAAAGAACAAAAAAATGAGTTCAAACGAAACAATGCTCTTAATACAAGTGGTAGAAGCAATGACTTTTTAATCAACATTAGAATGCCTCATCATTCTTTGAATGTCCATTCCTCTGAATCAATCAAATTTTGGACCTTGCGCTTCACTACCTTACAGTTCTCAGTGGAATACCATGAACTTCCTATGTGATAGCTATATATGGTATCAACATCGTAGCCCTTAGGATATAGTGACTCTTTTGGCCTTTCGGAAGCTTCTCATGTGAAATAGTTAGTTTAGGAGCATGTATCATCACACGTTCAGAGGTTTCAATGGATGAAGAGACATGTTTTTTTCCTTTTTCCTGATTGAGCCCAACCAATTTACCCATCTCGTTTCATTCTTTGTAAATTCTCTTGCAATTATTCTTTCAACTTTTTGAGATTTGCTTCCATTACGTCACGTGATTAAGGTCACTTCCATTGAATTCCCCTTGAATTAATCCCCATGTTTTCATGAATGATGCATGTAAAAATGTTTAAATAAATGCAATGCAGAATGTAAATGCAAAAGGCATCGATTTCCAAAAGTAATCCTTCTTAGAAAGTGTTTCATTCATCTAAAATTAATTTTCATCATTACAAGAGAGATCAATCTACAAACGTGGTTTGACCCTTTTATTTAGCTCCATGATCTCAGTCATGATCCCATCAACTTTCTCTCTATATCAGAGGATAAACTAGTGCGAAGTAGAATGACATCAGCCCTGTTGGGTAGCTCTTGTTCGAAAGGTTCTTTTCTAGGAAATAGATAAATCATGTGTTCTCTTTTTGTAATGGTCTCAATGGTATGTGATTTCAGATTTACTCAAGCTGCTCGTAACTGTAACAAATTGGCACGCTCTATATTGTCCGAGGACCATTAACGGGGCATAGTTGATTTCTCCCCATAATCTCAGTAACGGGGCGTAGTCGAGATCTCCACATTTGAATAAAATGTTGGTATCTCCTAGCCCAGGAACACACCAAGCGATGTCTCGGTCCTGTAAATTACTAAAGGTTGACATCCATCTTCTCCTTGGCAATCACTCTGGCCACTTCTTGCTAAGAAATTCTTTCAAGTGAGAGTACATGGTGGAGAAATAATGATAATACATTTTCTCTTCTTTTTAGAAATGACTACGAATCCAGACATTGAATCGACCTCACTCCAATTGACGATAATTATTTAAGGATCGGAAGGTCTCTGCCAAGACACCCGGTGAAGGTTTTATACCTCTTTCCAATCTGTCAAACAAATCTGCAACAGTAGCCTCCACGTGGAACAAAGTCTTTGGGAATATCACCAGACCATATATAGCCAGAGCAAAGGTGTCTAATATATTATCTTCATCTATGTACTCGAGTATCACCTTCTTGAGACAATGCCACAGAAAACATTTGCTTTCTCCCTTTTATTGGATGCTCTACTATCAAATTTTCACCTCTACCAGTAATTTTCACAAGTTTGCTTTTGAATGATTGGACTTTAAGAGGTTTGGAATAAATTATACCCACCTGAAGGCTCTCGAAGTTGAATAGAGTTGTATACTCTTCTATTATTGGTGTCAAATCTTGTCCATTGAAAGTGAAGTAGCTATAAGCAGGATTCCAGAATCGGACCAGATCTTTAAGCAAAGGTTCCTCTATCTTTACATAAAGGAGGTAGGCTATGTCTCCATATTTCTTGTGAAAATTCTCCTTGGTAGCTACTCTCTCAAATCTCTATCATCTCTTGTAGATCATTCTGCTTGAAATTGACATTAACATCTATGGACATCTGTGATACATAATCCGCAGGGAAACTGTCTTCTTTTACTTTTTGTGTTTCTTCATATCAAACTCGGACAATCGGATTAGGTTCTTCCTTGTTATGAAAAGTCTTTTCCATCTTAATGATCGTTCTTCTACTTTGATGATTACTTTGTTAATCAACACCTTTCTTTTATTTATGATGATCATGCATTGCCAAACAATAAACAATCAAACATAGAAAATGTGTCAGTATAAAAGAATTTGAATATCAAGCAAATATTATTGAAAGGGAATTGCAACACCTTACCACATGCTTTTCTGCCCTTATTATGTTAAATCCTACCCAAAACATGCTTTCTACCCCCATGCTTTGATCGAAAATAAAACATAACCACATGATTTTCTAGTTCATATACTCTATTCATAAAGTAAAATAATACGAGTAAATAAGAGAGGCTTAGTGTCATTTCTCCTTTGTGTACACGGGTACCTAACAACAGACAGAGTTTCGACATGAATTTTATTGGGTTGGGTTACTAGGGTTCAGTATATGCGGTATTGGGTTCTAAGAAAAAATGTACTCGAATTGTCCATGTTGGTGCCTCTTTAGGCTGCCAAACCCTCAATCCTGACCAATTACAGGCTCGTGCAGATCGAATTCAATTCGAGAGGATGCATTCTCTTGTGTCCATGTGGAGAAACAATTTATTTCACGTAGACATAAGGTATATGAACCCCATAGGTTACTTGTTAAAACCCATGTGGAGAAACAAATTATCTCGCGTAGGCTAAGCTTTCACCTCAACTTACAAGGGACAAAGCTCGTAAGTGGGCTTATAGTACGTAAATACATGTGTTGTGTGTGAGGAGAAACTCACAAACCTTTAATAACACGACAAAAGACAACACTTTCACAAGATCCAAAAATCTATTCAAATATGAAGACCATTAAAATCAAAATCAATTAGTTAAAAATAGAATAATGCATGATATGTTGAAACTCAAAATAAACAAAAGGATCATAAATTAAATACAATTTAAGTTTGTAACTCCCAAGAATAAAAACAACATATAATCGTTTATGGTCCGACTCTCTAAGTCCTCAGTAGAGTCGCCAAGTTGTCATAATGTCTCCCTCGGGAATATGTTAGACATTAAAAATTAATTCAGGGAAATACGATGAAATATAATTTTGAAAATAATTTGATTTTGGAGTCGATTACGTGTGAGGAAGGATGAGCACCCCCACAACGCCCAAGTTTGGTACCTAAATGATTATATGATGCTTAAAAGTTGGGAAATTACAAACTCGAAAACATATTTAAATTAGGATCCTTCTATTTATTCGAATTTATTTAAAAATATCCCAATTTTCTTAAACTAAAACAACGTTGTTTTTCCAAATAAGAATATGATGACAAATAATAAATGCAATGGCCACAAAAATTAAAGAGCACAAATATATTTTTATGGAATAAAACTGTTTATTTACCCAAAAAATTACAATTATTTTTATAATAGAAATCACATCATTTTGTACAAACAATCCTTGAAAATGCACTTACTTTATAGTTAGGAGACTTTTTCATAGATTCCCCTAAAAAATGGTGTTTCTTTAATTTTATGGATGATATAGTTTAAAAGAGTATACTATTATATTAAATTTTTAGAAATGTTAAGATAAAAGAATGCCTTTTTGTGCAAACAATCCTCATAAATGCACTTCATTTGTAGTTAGGAGACTTTTCCATAGATTTCCCTCACAAAAAGACATTATCTCACATTTTCATTATATTAAAGATACAAATAAAATAAAATAAAAATAAAACAAGGTGA